CCATTATGAGGTAATATCTTTGTAATATAACATCTGCACATAATAAATCAATGGGCTGTATTTTAGCTCTATAAAAAGGCTCAAGCACAAACTGAGTTTTATTACATTCAGTCGTGACTTTGCGGTCTCTAAATTTCACTTCTTCTGTTTTTACGGCACCTCAGGGCTAACTCAGAGCCACACAGGCCGGAGACACATTTGTTGCTTCCAGACATCAGGCCCATGATGCAGTTCTGCAGACAGGCTACACAAGTAACCACCTTCTCCCTCTCACCCCTTCTTACCCAAGCCATAAAGGTCCTATATTAAGCGAAATTAACTATTGGGAGCTTTAGACCATGTTACAATTTTGTTACATCCTCAAAAACATACCCAAAGCTGTGATTTGTTTCAGTTACATATGTTTGAGTAATCCTTTATTAATAATATGTAGCACATCTCCAAAGTTCAAAATGCTTCATTGTGATGTCATGAAGTGACAGTTTTCAAATTAACAGCTACCCTTTATCTTTAGTTCAATAAAGATGGGCAATTCCAGGGCTGAAGTTATCCAAATGATTCTAGTGAAGGTGTATGGAGTTTAAAAACACAGTGAAGGACATCCTGTATTACCACATGGCATCACAAAATTAAACAGAGTGTTTTCTCTACATATGCCTAAATATGCAGGGTTTGTGTCTTAAACATGTGTGAATGAAACAAAACACAGCTCTGGTTATGTTTTTGATGAGGAAACAACATTATAGCATAGATCAGAAAATAATATAATATAGGACCTTTAATTACCTCTGTCATATTGCTCCCATCAGCCCCTCTGTGCCACTGCAGTTTTCGAACTCTCTCTAAAGCCTGAACCATCCAGGTGAATGAAACTGTCACTGCCATCATGTCCAGCTCCTCTTGCATCATTTATTCATATGAGACCTTAAGACCAGGGGTAAATGTCCATCTCAAAAACACCTTCAGAACATAATGTTGACATTTGTGTGCACCACTTTCACATTTTAATTCACAAATAATGGTGTTCAAAAGTAAATGCAACAGAGCCAAAATGACAGAGACGCTCAAATACTTAGATGACGAGACACATCCATAAATGTAATCAATCAAAAACTGGAGGAGTTTCTCTGAGGACGCTGAGCTAGGACTGTCGATAAATTAATTTCATTGTTCCTTCCAGAAAGTTCAAGACAGATTTGAAAAGAAGTTAAAATAAAATTATACCACAAACTCCTTTCTTATATTCTCCCTTCTTGTAGAAATGCCTAAATTCTCCTATTCAAATTGACTGAAAAATCTATTTTAATCTACATTTACAAAAATAACAATTCTCTTAACTTCTTGCGGCTAGAGTTGGCTTCTATAAGAGAAGACAATCCAACCTGTATTTATCCCTCAGTGGACAAATTCTAGAGTTGCAGCACATAGCTCAAGAACAATATGTATTATGTACAGTACACCATATGGACAGAATAAAAAGCAGGTAAAATGACATCAGTGTACCAGAGGTGGTCCTTATTATGTTACAGTATATTTCTCAATAGAGTTTGGAAAATGATTTCAAGAATTGTGTTAATTGTTATTTTCAGTTATTCCGTTCATTTATGCCATGATCCTGATCTGGCATGGCTACTGGATTATTTTTAAGTTCCAGTCCTTTTAAAAAATTCCAAAGGAACCCTGACTCTCCCAGCCATCAAGGTGAATAAATGTCACTCCAATCATGTCCTCTCCCTCCTCCATCTTTTATTCACAAATCACACACATGAAATATTCACGTCGCGATGAGGCCACTCCACAAGTGGCAGTTGTGAGTTGATGAATATGTGGCTGCAGGAGGTTTATGTTGGAGATCATTTATTTCCGAGGCAGAGAGGGAGGTACAGGGGGATATAGGCGCCACCAAGTCCTATAGCTCACCTTGGAGGACCCCCTGCCGCTGTCACAATGGCTAACAGTGCGGCCCACAGCAGCACTGAGGTTGAGAGGCGGTCACATGAAAGATGAGGCAAGAAAAGGCTGCAGAAAGAGAGGGATGGATGCAGGGAGGAGAGAAGAGGAAAGGTCGCGAGCAGAATGGTAATGCGTGCAACTCACGTCTGACTCGGACGCGGCAGACGAGCAGAGGATACCAAGGGACTGCATGGGGTCACCAGGCATCAATCACACAGGGCAGAGGGATGAAGAGGATGGAGTCAAAGAGATGAGTGAAGGGAAAATACTCAGCGTTGGGGTTGATATGGAGATGTCAGCAGTACTAAAGTCACAAGACAGCAGTTTCTTTCTATCAAGCAGCAGTTTAGTCAAGTCCACTGGGACAGAGCCTGTGTCAACTGGCTGATAACTGTCAGAGAGATTACATGCCAAGTCCAAATGTATTAGCTTTCAACAGTTTGTAAACATACTTACATATAGATCATTAAACTCTTCTAATTTAGAGGAAGTAGCCTGTCTGATCTGATTACATAGTATTATTAGGCCAGGTTATAGGTCAGATCTGTGGAGAAACAACCCCGTAAGAATGTTGTTCAAGGCAATAACATTTCCACAGAATCAAACAGGTGACAGACCCTACACCAAAAATGTTAATCTTTGAGTAAAGTACATTTACTACACAGAAGAACTACTACTAAAGGTCCTATATTACACAAAAATAACTTGTGAACTTTAAAATGTTGTTACCTCATCAAAAATATATCTGGAGATGTGTTTTGTTTTATTCAGACATGTTGATGTAAACTGGGTTTATTAGCCTGTCTATCTCTGTAAAGCTCAAAATGCTCTGTTCCACCTTGTGATGTTATGATGGTATGGTAGTTTTTCAACAGCTACCTTTGACCTTTAGTTCAATAGAGATTGGGAACTCCAGCGCTGAAATCATCCAAATGATTCTTTTGAAGGTGTATGGAGTTTAAAAATACATTGGAGCTCTTAATGTATTACTACATGACATCACAAGGTGGAACAGAGTATTTTCTGTTTGAGAGAGGAACACATGCTAAATATGCAAGATTTGTGTGTTAAACGCATGAATAAAACAAAACACAACTCCAGGTATGTACATAGTTAAGAAAATAGTTTAATATAGACCCTTTAATAGTCATTAATAATGACATTTTGAGACACACTCCTTTTACAACACCAGTGAAAAAGTTACCATTGTCAAAAAAATCCCTTCACCTTTTGTTAGACAGCAACGCTTTCAGTTCTCAACAATGAAGAGAGGGGTCTAAAATGCTGATTCTGAACTGAAATAGGTTTGCTCAGCAGGGAGATGCTGAATACTTAGATCCCCACTAACAATAAGCCTTTGGTAGGGCCCCATAAGAAGAGATTAAACAGTGAAGAAAAGTCACAGCAAAGGCAAAGACATATCACCTTTCTAAAGTGGAGCAGAGCAAACATGCTGGGTTAATTTAAAGATCATAATGGGACAAAGCAGAGCAGAGACAGGAACAATTGGGTGTTGTCATTGGGAATCTGAGTTACCACAAACCAAGGAGGGGAGTCCCTGGCCACAGTGAGTTATTAAAGAGCTATAGATTATATAGAAGATAAATATTTGCTGAGACTTTCCTAAGCTTTCATTGATGGTTTCACAAGTCAAGGTTGAGCACTTGCTTGTGGTGGTTCATAAGTTATACTGGGGGGTGAAAGCCTTACAGCTGTGTGAATGTAAGCAGAAGGGAGCAGTTTATGAGACAGCAGGTTCTTTCTAATGGAACACGACACCAAAACTAAGTGAGTTACTGGCAAAACACTGTGTTGTAAAGTAAATTAGTTTTGTAAATATATATATATTCACTTTAGAATATCTGTCAATCAAATATAATTCAATTAGGTCTGAGCACTATGGTGAAAAAAATGGAGATTGTGATCTGATCTCTATAACAACGTGCATTTTAGTTCTTGTCTGTTTAATGCAGTTTTATGCTTACAAACTTCTGCCCTCCCCCTCTTCTAACAGGTCAACATCTTTCATGCTCTGAGTGAGTGACAGAAATAACCAATCACAGTGAAAGTGAACTCGCAAAAGAAATTGCTTTAGTTATCTCTTCAATAATTTAAATTATGTTAAATAATGTAAATGAACTGTGACAAAATCAGAAATCATGGAATTATTTTTTTGTTTCCCTTTGTTCACCCCAAATCCCCCAAAAATTTGTATTCATGATTTTTTATTTATACATTTTTTATCAAGTTCATCATAATTCACCCAGTCAGTATCTCTATGTCTGTCTATAATATTATTATTATTATTATTATTATTATTAGTAGTAGTAGTAGTAGTAGTAGTAGTAGTAGTAGTAGTAGTAGTAGTAGTAGTATATATCTTTTTCTCTGACAATCCACAGGTCACGCACTAAAAAAATTATAGAGGCTGACCAAGAGGAGTGTGTGCCTGAGCACTGAATCACATATGTGACAATCTAATAAAAAATGCACATAGCCACAAGATCAGATCACAATTATTATTTTTTTTATCATCATGTTGACCAGCACTTGTTTGTGTCTTCACTATAAATTATTAATACACTTCTAAGTATGGGTCAGTGACAATTGTTGGTTCTAGTAAACAATGAGACAGCAGCTGACAACAGTATAACAGTACAGTGCAGCATATAATTGAACATGTTGATGAGTGGGTAGTCTAAGGGCTTTCTCTTTCCTCTCTATCTCCTCTTATTACATGACATTAATGGACAACAAAAAACTTCCTGCCAATCAGTGCATCAATAGCAGAAAGCTTCTGGGTGTTGTCATCATGGTAAAATGGCCACAACTGGAATAAAAGAGCTTTACACTATTTCAAACTGGTCTCCAGGGTCTTCTAGGTGACATAGGACAATGCCCTTGCTTGGTTTATGAGCAATAGAATTCAGCTACATGAGGTCATGCTGCAGTATATCTACTATGTGTGAGTGCCATGTCATTGCACACTAAAGGTACATGGTGTGAAAAAAAGTTTCTATACTTTCAGTTGCAAAAAAACTACTTACTGAACATGTCCTGATTTCTGCATATCGACTTTGCTCCGGGCTATAAAATAGAAACATTAATAACAACATTAAACTACATTTAATTAAGCTGTCCCAAGGTAACATTATAAATTATGCAAATTGGACAAGTTTGTCCAGTTTGACCCTCTAGTAAATAAACCTTCAGCTATGTACAGTGTAACACAACTCTAAGCTTTTCAGTGTTAAGCTGTTGACCCATTCTCCTCTGAGTATCCCTTTCACCTGAACGTGCGATCTCAAACTGGATTGAGGCCAACTCCAGACCAGTGCAATGGAGCACTTGTATGTGGTGATCCTAGATCCTAACCCCACATTACCCATTGCTGTTAACAAGGCCACTTCATTATTTAACAGCTGTCACTGTTATCTGAGACAATACGGATGAAGGAGGCTGTGCTAGATCCAGAGCCTGGCACAGATTTCAGATAAGCAGCGGCGTTGGCTGGACCACACCTCTCAGGCCAACAACCAGATCACATTTCTCTTAAGTGGAATAGCAATCATAAGCTCAACTCAGGGCAATGATCTGCAAAGCAGACATTCAAAAATATTAAAAGGAAAATGTGATTTTCACCCTGAGTGACAGCACTAATTTGAACAGACTGGCTGTTGAGTATACAGTATGTAGATATGTTGTCCTGATGACCTATGCAGTTTGAGAAGGGGAACATTGATAAGTCTCTCCATATTTCTGAAGGTGTCTCACTTGGTGATAAAAGAAGAGGAAAATGCATTGGCATTGTCAAAGTAATTTCATGGCACATTGGTCCATGATGTGATAACCTGGTGAGTTGGGGCTTTCAAATAAATCACAGTAAGCAGTTTTTAAAGGGGGCTTGTGTCATGTATGTTTATAGAAATAAATTGAATTCAGGAAATGCCTGTCAAAAACATCACCTTCCACAAAAATAGCCACACTCTCATACAGATCCTGATAACTCAGCTCTTTCCTGACCCTATAGCTAGTAGGTGTCACCATTTACATTCAAACATTTCCTGATTCTCATTAGGCAGCTGTCTCAAAAACAACTTGCATTACTCTAAAGAATATTTTGAAATTTAGTCACAGATTGCTAAGTCAAATACTCAAAAACTTAGTTTCCTTAGAAAGGTCCTTGCTTATGTCACTAACCTCCCTCCTCAATAGCTGTTCTTGGGTCCAGTGTATGTCGGCCGCCTCAAACTTTGCTCCGAGGGTCCCTCTCTCTCGTCCCTCCTCCACTGATACGGCTGCTGCTGCTGCTGAGTGTAGGTCTGCTTTGAGAAACACAAGGAGGCAGGCACAGACTCTAAAAACTCCCCACCCACTCTGGCATCCCCCAAGACTCTCAGCCAATCACAACGCTCATCTCTATACACTGAAACATGCTGTGAAATATTCAAAACAAAAATGCCACTTGGCACCACACATATTTGGGCGTGTCAATACATATTTTTACTTTCTGTTTACTTTTGGGGATAACCCAATGTATCTTAATTATTAACTTACTATAATGAATACTATTATTATATTCATTACTACAGATTAGTTACAAAATGAATACATGTTAAGTATCAATAGAGGGTTTTTGTTTTTTTTTAAAGCTGGAAGCTGAAGTGCTTAGTCACAAGCTCAAACAGATGGGAACAATTTGTATCCTTTATTTATTTATTTATTTCATATTTACATAGCAATTGCATTGGATAAACCAGATGTATTGTTTCAAGCGTCAATGCACCTGAACCTGAAATTGTCCATATGAGGCTTTTAGGGATGGCAAGAATAATCATAACAGTGACAGTTATCCTTATATGTGGAGTTAGAACTATATTCTCAAGTTTTAGTATCAGTTCTACATGGAGGAGAAAGGTAAGTTAAAAATGCAAAGTGAAGGCATTAGTAAGAGCTGTGACTGTGCTTCCTCCGCTGATGCTGTGTGGGCGCCGTGGAGACGTGTGCTAGCCCTCTGACAGCCCAGCAGGACATACATCTATTATCACTGCGCTACATTTAATTAAAGCCATTTTCTCTCTGAACAAAATGGCAGCTTCACATTAGGGGCATAAAAATGTCTCTGTGTTTTGAAGTGGCCGTGTGGGTGTACCGAAGTGCTTTCCAGATATGGATTATGCAGTTCTCCCAAGTGACTGTTAAAATGTAAATAGCGAATCAGTGAATTTCACAGAATGTTATAGCAATGGCCTGAGAGTAAATCTGTCTTTTAGAATGACTATAAACATAATTGTAGGTTAAAATCACAGCATAGTTTTCTAGTTGCTTCTTTGTGTTTGGTGATTATATGAATGGAAATTGGACTTATGGGGCTACTCTATTGCTTCTTTCTATAAGCTATGCAAACAAAGATTAGAGGCATTTTAGTAAAGGTTAGTCCTGACTAAAATCTACATGATCCAAAATATTTGACCCTTTTCTTTTGTGTCTCTTTGTTAGGTTATAGTACATTTTATTGAGCCAGTGAGGAAATGTGAAGTCTGCATTCGCCCAGTCCGTCAGTGCCACTGGTGCAACCTGTCAAGAGTTAGAGCACTCAGGGACCCTTCCCAACATATTGAGTTGCAGTTATGAAAAGTGTCAATTTCACTAAATATGGTTCATAGAAATTACAGTCTAGTTTTATGGTGCATCACTTTTTCATTAAGCTTCATTACACATACAGCAGATGCTCAATACTACACTTGTAATCAAAATGATATAAACGTATAATTATCCCTGAATGTACATTAAATGACAGTTTTGGGTGTAGTCTTGCTTGTTCGTGTGTGTGTGTGGGTGGAGGGGCAGGTGGCCATGACCAATCAATAAGGCTGATAATGAGATCTGAGGGGTGTCATTATAGTGGGCCCTTGGGCTTGAAATGCCCCCTCTTCCCTAAAGATCATGCTTGTCTCCTCTCCTCTGAGCAAGCAACTACCTCATTAACCTTTGGAGCAAGCACAACACTGACCAGCCACCATTCACTATTTCCCTAACTTGTTCTCTTGTTGTTTCAATGCCAAGCAAATAAACATTCAAACTCCCATTCACAAAAGCATACATCGGCTGGTCATTTTTTTAGGTACTTTTTCTAATACACAAATGCACAAATACATTAAGTGTGTAAACTGCAAATCAAACACATGTTTTTAAAGCATCTACTGACACAATCCATTCTATTCAGTGTTTGACAATTGGAGGAAAATAGTTACTGAATGGCCTGGTGGTTTTCAGATAATAACTCAAGCAACCACACCTATGAGGACCCGCAGAAGAACAAAACTCTTGCTGTGGATTTGAGTCGCTAAAGAAAACACACTGCGAGAATAAGAAGGCCAGTGTATAGTACAGTAGTCCAAGGAAAAAAGTTCTGAGCCAATGCATGAATAATTTCTCCTTGTCCCTGACTGCATGCCCCTTGTGGCAGTAATTCCAGCTCTGGCGGAGACCACACATAGATGGATTATCGCAGTGCAAACCGATGGCCAGTGTTTTCAAAGTGAAAGTGAAAAGTGAGCCGGGTGAGTGAAAGTCATTAGGGCCCGTGGGAATCATACGGGTCTGTTTGGAGCCACTGACCTTCAGAGCCATGTCACTTCCCCTGTGGAGCGTTTGTGTGCACGTGTGGCTACTATAGGGGACTGGCTGATTGAGTGCGGCGCTGAGAAATGGAACAGAAGTGTAGAACAACATCGTCTAAGCAAAAGGACATAGGTTTCGGTTTGTACAAGTGGACAGGAGCCGCTGGAGAAACTACCAACAGAAATAACTGACAAAATAAAGCAATACTAGTGAAATTCTCAGAATATTGTGAAAAGAAATAATGTATGATTCTTACTTACTTCAGTACTTGTTGAAATTAGATTTTGAATAAATTTAACAAAAGTAGACATACATAAAACCCTCATTGTTATTCTTGATACAGTAACTTGCCCAAAATCTTAAAGCAACATTAAAGGTCATTGTCTATTTATATGCCATTACTATAAGCAATATCTTACCTATCCCATACTGCCTATGTCTTTCTGCTTTGCATATGTGAATAACAAAATGCTCATTGGTAAATAAATATATACAAAATGAAAATTAATTGCTGCAGTTTAAACATGCGGCATCAGCAGTTCTCTAGCATGCATGAGCACACTGTACAAATAAGCGAAGGATTAGTTCTAATTATATGTATCTTTTCTATATGCATGGGGTTTTCAGTATTTGTATTTTAGACACTGACTGGAAAGGAGCCATGTCTGTGTACTGGTATGTGTGTCCTCTACAGTAAAACACCTGAGGACAGACCATGAGCTAGGTCAGAGGAAAGGTCATCAAAACATTTAACCATTTGCCCCATTATACCTGCTTATGAAATGTCATTCATCACATATTTCACAAATTCACCATGGATCAAAACAGTTCCAGGACCGGGCCTCTGTGGGAGCTCACTCACCTCCACAGTCTCCCACCAGCTCCCCCCGCTGACCCTTGCTTCATGCTCCATTTCATATTCTATTTTGGTTTAATTACTCCAAAATGTCTAGCCAAGGTCTTGAGAAGCCAGCAACCTTGCCAGTCAGATAAGTGTCAGTAGAATTCATGCATGTATTAAATGTCTTATACTTATTACCATAACATTATACCTTGTTGTATTCAATCATAAGTTACAACAAGCTGCTGTCGATCACATCTCATGGCATAAAATGACATTTACTTAACCCCTGACAGTCAGTACAGCACACTACAGATGTATAATGTCGAGATGAAGACTATAGTCTAGTTACTTGACCTGGCTCAGTCAGTCAATCCTTAGGGGGTGTGGTGAGATACCCTGAAGGATACTGAGCAGTAGTATTTGATACTGATCTAAAAATACAAATGTGAAAAATATAAATGTGTGCCATAGACTGTATAAAGCAGTGGACTAAGGAAGCGTGATGTCACTGCGTTCAGCTCCAGTCAAATGAAGCTCATGATGCTAGCAGTTATAGGTCCATATTAGGAATAATAATTTATTTGCATACAAAGTGAAATAAAAACATCATGTAGATGGGTTAATAAGAACATTTTAAGACCAAAATGACATGGCTCACTGCAGCGGTTATGTCAATGGAGTCAGAAGCGTTCCTGACAAACACATTCTATTTGGAACACGGCGGCTAACAGGTTGTATGTCCTTTATATGTACAGTCTATAATGTGTGCAAAAACGTCATATTAGCTGCATGATTCATTTGAATGCTATGGCAGAGGGTATGTCACAAATTGCCATCACTACACTAATACATGATGAAGCGATGGTATGTGTGTGTAGGTGTGTGTGCGTTCATGGGCGTGTGTGGGTGTGTACCTGTGTGTGCGCAGATGTGTGTATGTGTATGTGTAGATGTGTATGTGTGTGCAGGTGGTGTATGTGTGTGCAGGTGGTGTATGTGTGTGCAGGTGGTGTGTGTGTGTGCGTTTGTGTGTGTGTGTGTGTGTGTGTGTGTGTGTGTGTGTGGGTGTGCGTAGGATGGGTTGGGGAGAGGGTCTTTCTGCAGAGCGGACTGTAGTGGAGCCTGATGACTGATGATGCACGGCTTCAAATTTTCTCCTCACGATTAGCGTGAGCACAGGATTAATTCAGACTACATTTTCTGTGATTGATAATTTCTATGAACTAATGAAACAAATAATAAATATATTACAAGCACATGAGTGATAAGACATGCCAGAAAAGCAATCAGCCATGTCTCTACAATGCATCACTTTCATGTTTGGTATTTGTGTTTTTTTTCCCCCAGCGAGCAAAGGGCCCACACATACGTTTTAAGACTTGATTCAAAATTCACGGTGTGCTCCAGGGAAGTCCTCCACAGCAGTGCACTTAGTCAGAGACAGTGTGGCTGTTAAACCATCCAGCACTTCTTTACAAAGCCGATAAGTCAATGGGGTCTCTCTACTGGTGATTAACAGGGGCTTCTTTGATCCATACCAAAGCTTAAGATATTGAATCCAAACACAGGCTTCAATACAGACTCCTATTTGAGCATTTGATAAAGTGGCAGCAATGATTAGGGACCTATTATTAGGCCTGTCACGATAATTACTATATCGACTTCATTATTAATATATGAAAGCTGGAACAACATTTTATGTATCGTGGGTATTTTCCTTAACACTACTGGGAAATTTGTGATTATTTTTTGGCTGTATGATAAGATTTAAGCCATAAAAGAATTAATAACTTGTATGACTCACTACAGATGCAAACTAAGTACTATAATGTTTCATTCTGCAGTTTATGTATTGCAGCTTATGATTTTTTAACAATAATGTGGGTTTAGAATAGTTTTTGTGTTATAAATCTGCTCTTGGGTTTTTGTGTCAGTGGCATAAATTTGTTTGAATATTATCATTTATCATCTATATTTTCTTCAGCAATATATATCGTACTTCACAATTTATTATCATGACAAGGTTTACCTATTACTGGTAGTGGTCACATGTTGATATGAAGTACCAGACTAAACTGTGATGATGTTGGACCAGGCAAGTACAATATGTGAATTAGCCCATGTCACCAGTTTACTATACTAATCTTCTTTGGGCAGTGTTTTTAGATACTGATCAAACTACAGCAACTGCGCTGGAGATGCTCTGATCCAACTGTCTATAAAATAAAAAACGTGCTCCTTGTCAAATTTGCATAAACGTTATTTTTCCTGATATAAAATGTTACATACTGTACGTTTTATCACCAATCTGCACATTTTGTACTTTATCACATCAGTTTCAGAAAGCAATTACAACGTTCTGACAGCAAACTAATGGAAAATACATTGCCATATAATTATGAGTACATTTCATCCAGATGGTAATTATAAAATTGCCAAAATAATTTACTGACTTGAAAACATCCACGTTCACAAGTGTTCATTTCAAAGCCTGACAACCATTTCTAATTCAGATCCATGACATCAACAGCAGGAGGTATGACTACATGCAACAGATAAAACCTTTCCCACAAGTTTCTTTTTACTAAAGACCAGAAAGAACCTAAAAACTTTTGTTCCTTTAAGCTTTGATTCTCTTTCATTCATAGGTGCTACATGCTGACATACAGGACATTGGTGCACCTGTTTCATCTGGTTTGTGTTTAATTCATCACTTAAGTTAAAGTGGCACCCGAGCAGTGGCAGTCACTGAGGCAGGAGGAAGCCCTGACCTACTTGGGCAATGTTATGTCCCAAGTGACGGCTGTGTACCTGCTATCTGGGCCACGACATATTCTAAAGCCTCAACATTAGAAACACTGGTTATGTTTGCATTCACACCAAAAACCTGATCATGATAAGAATATTGATATGTTATGTAAACTGTTGTGATGTGAGCAAAATTTCAAACTTGATTTCGATACTCGATAGTCAATATACAAGACTGACTCCAGAACCATAAAGACAAAAAAAATGCTCTTTATTTATAATATAAAATGGTATTCTTTTATATCACCATGTGGCCTTATATCTGTTTAATCTCTCCATTGACCAGGTAGTGTCCATAGTGGTCCATGGGCATATACTAGTCTATGTGCTCTCATACTTGTTCTGATACAGTTTAGGATCATTCTAAAGCTGCTCAGGCAAGTTCATTACTATCCTGTGAATGTGGCTTTTTAGTATCAATACTCAATCAGTCCTATCAATGCTCAAATGAATATATAAATTTGATACTAGTTTTAGTACCAATAAGTATCAGATTTTTTACACTTTTGACAACCCCAGATGATCATAAACACATGCAAAAAAGGGCAAACTAAGAAAAAGGCACTGAACAAATGAAAGAGAAAAAGTTTAAGGTTTCTATTGTGGATGTAAACACACATGAAAAAATCTCATCTAATGATTGTATTACCTGATTATTCTAGTTATTTGATTTTACTGGCCATGTTAATGCACCAGCATATTTGAAATAAAGAATAAACGTGATACAGTACTTGGAATTTTAATCACAAATTCAAATTACGGTATGTAAATATTAGCCAGATGTTTATGGGTCACGGGTGAAGTTTTGAGTAGTTGTACTTAGTTCTGAGTCCACACAGTCCAGAGTTTCAGAAAGTCTAAGTTAAAGAGAAAGACTTATTAAAAATTCAGAACAGCTTCAGCTCTCTGTCAAAAAGAAATGTAGCATTGAAAAGACTGAGTTTGGAGGGGCAATTTAGATATTTTTGCAAATTAATTTCAACTATTTGCATATTTTCTTGCTCCTTAATCCAGAATCCTTCTACCTTTCCTCCTTCTTTTCCTGCTAACTTGTGAGCATAATTCCTCATACAATCTGACTTTAATATGCTTTACTACAGAACATGAGTAATTTATCACAGTATGGCGTCGCCCCGGACACTACTACGCAGCATATTTCATAGACCAGTACACTCACGCTTGATCACTGCTAGGGCAATGCTGCTAATGCCTCTATTTATTAAGCCTCCTGGGACGAAGCTGTCAGGACAACAGTTTGACACAAAGGCCACTGCAGACATCTCCACAGTCAGCCACTGACAGGAAAAATTTAAGTTTGGGAGTTTGTATTTCTGTGGTAATTTTGTCACTGTTGCTCTATACATTATTAAAGGTCCAATATTACACATAATGGCCTCTTATGCACTTTAAGGGATGTTATAATGTATAATGTCAAAAACACACTTGGAGTGGTGTTTTGTTTCATTCATACGTTTGAGTAATCCTACATTATTAGTCTATCTACATTTCCAAAGCTCAAAATGCTCCAACAACATTTAACACATACCTTTTACCTTTGGCTCAGTAGATACTGGCATTTTCATGGCTGGAATCATCCAAATGATTAGTGATCTAGTGAAAGCATATGGAGTTTAAAAACACAATATAGCACTTTATTACCGTATTACCATAAAACATCACAAAGTTGAACAGTGTTTTTGAGAAAATAACTCATTCTAAATATTCAGGGTTTGGGTGATGTGTCTTGTCCAAGAACACAAACACAGCTGCACTCAAACAACAGCAATACAAACAACAAGCAATACAAGTCATCACCCTAATCGAGTGATAAAATGTGCCTATACCAGATAAAGACAAAAATGTTGGTACATGTAATATGTCTTTGGATTGTTCTTTGGGGGAAATAAGCTTGCATTAACCAATATCATTCATGCTCTGCTTTTTAAATGACTCCAATTATTTTTGAAGGCATGATTAGCCTGGTGCCTCCTGAGACTTGAGTGGGGGATTATCTGTGCCAGTTTTGGATGTGAGGTGGAAAGGGACAGCACAGAATACAGCAAGATACAAAGTTATAGGTAGCATAGCACCCAAATTACACCAACATTACAGAACTTGAATTAAAGGTGCACTACGTAACTTCGCTGGTAGAGGGTCCACCATCTGCTTTTGCCAGTATAGATGTTCTTGCTTTGGTTGCAATGTTCCATAGTATGGCATTTAACTTAATTATTTCCAAGAAAACATGCAGATAATGTTAAGATTTATCACTGGTCAATACCAGAACTGTCACTACCAGAACTGTGGAGAAGCAACCCTGCTCACATTATGAATCCATGATTTTCAAGGTATTTTTGAGCAGTAAAGACAGTGTAAAAATAAAAAAAAAGATTATAAATTTTTAATTTCATACTATGGAACATTACATGTAATAATATCTCCATTAAGAAAAGCTCCCTACCAGAAAAGTTACACAGTGCACATTTAAAGCCAAAATAAACTATAAATATTGTACCTTCAGGACCAACTTATTCCATCCACACTTTTTGGTCCTCTCCTTCAGTTTGGAGATGTGTCCTTATTGCACGCAGTCACCGTTCTGCACTTCTCCAGCAGCTTCACGCTCCACCCTCTGCTTCCCCAAATAAATCACCTCCTGTCTCTCTCCCTGACCCTGACCTTGATAACTATTGATGAGAAGACGGAACTCTTTATTCACAACCTCATCTACCTGTCATGCTGACGGAAAGACTAAAGCAAACCATCCATGGCGTTCACACACTGGCAAGCGATGAGTGGGAAAAAGATACACAGACATCAGCCATAAACCTGTGCTCATCGGGATTACAGCTCAAATCAATGTCCCGCTTTGACCTCTGCCTCCCCTTTGCACAACCACAAGCTTTTGATTAGCTCTCCTCATTGCGTGCCAATGTCAGGCTCCTCTGAAGGGACATGTTCAGGGTGGTTGGCTATACAATGGATTTAGGATGCAGTCAGTAAGAGTATCACCTTAAAAATGGTTGAGTGGTTCATAATCTTGTACTTGTGACTTGAAGTTTCACCTATACTTCAGTATTGTCATCTTATTAATGGAAAGGGTCATGGGGTCATGGGTGCTTGTGTTTGAATAGTGCCATCACCTTTGGAAGCTGTTTTTGCTGACAGAGAATGCATATTGAACTTTGTTTTAGTTTCATGTGGATAAGTCCAATGGTAGTGCAAATATTAAATGCCAATACATAAAAAATCTGCATCCTGACACTTAGTAGGCACATATTATGCTATATTCTGGTCTATAATGTTTCCTCATCAAAAACATACTTAGAGTTGTGTTTTATTTCGCTCCATTCACTCATATTTATCATACAAACCCTACATTTTTAGGGTGAGGTCTTTTCTCAAAACTGAAAACACTCCACTTTGTCATGTCATATGGTAATACACAGTGCTCCGTGGTGCTTTAAAAGTACATAAACCACTAGAATCATTTGGATAATTTCAGCCCTGGAACTGCCAATCTTTACTGAACTAGAGGAAAAAACACATGACTACACATGACATCACAAGGTGGAACAGAGCATTTTGAACTTCAGAGATGTAGACAGATTAATAATAAAGGGTTATTCAAACGTGTGAATGAAATAAAACATAACTTCAGGTATGTTTTTGATGAGGTCACAACATTATAACTTGGCTTAAAGCTCAAAAGAATCAATTTTGCGTAATATAGGACCTTTAAAGCAAAATGCGATTACCATAGAATCCTACCTTCCAGTGAATTATTTATATAGTAAATGTCATGAGAACGTAACCTAAACAACCTAACAAAAATGCCAGTAGAAATCCGATTATCAGACTAACTTTGCTACAATGTAACTACATTTTAAGAGTCAGCTAGACAGGACTAAATGGCCACATTAGACTCGCTAATAGGCTGAGGGGAACAGCAGGGGAGAGTGGTGGGCCATTCAGCAACTGCAAACTGCCCTGCTCTGTTCTGATTTACTTTCATAGATTATCTGTCACTGGTACAGGCGTGATACCCAGTGCACCCAAAGGACTCACGAGGGAGACAAATAAAACGGCCACATGAGTCACAGGATAATGGGACCATGTGTAATATTGGTGTCGACATGTGGCACCTGTTGATTTAATGCAAAGATTTAGAGTGGTACTAAATACTTGAAATATTTATGAAACGATACAGACTTCAATAAGATGGTTTGGGTTTAAAAAGGGCTACAAAAGCAATTTAACCAGGAAAATGTCTGGGGTCTATGCCTAAGTATGAAAACATTTTTTTAGGAAAGTAATTTTTTATGTTGTAAATGTATCTTAAACAACAGAGACAAACTAAGGACACACTGATGGACCAACACTGAAAAATGTGCTGGATCAGATATCAGCTTCCAAATATCAGATCAGCTGAGACCCTTGGACATACTGTTTAAACTGAAGTGATGAGACTATTGACTTGTCGTAGTTTGTGAGGAAAAACAGACCAGTTTTATCTTATTTTCTTTTTTGTTGCCACATATGGTGTAAAAAGCCTGTAGGATCTCTAATGTCCATAGTTAGCTTCTTAGCTAGCCTCTTGCACAGTCTCCATGGATACGAGAAAAACAAGCAGCTCATTGCACACAATCCAACAGTCGGTTGTGTTCATTCCGTCAGAGTTTTCCTCTGAAGATCTTCTGACACATTTGCTGCCACATATGGTGTAAACAAAAACTTGTAGCATCTCAAATATCCATAGCTTTTTATTTTAAGGAAATATATTAAGTTTTCAGTCTCTGCACTGGCATCGGTTGATATTGGGTATCGGCAGATACTTAAATCCACAGTATCGGTATCGGCATCGCTATTGGAACTGAAAAAGCTTGATCATTGCATCCCTAATGATTAGAAACAGCTTTTTGCATGTAAAAGAAAATGTCAATTACCGGTATTAACTGTAGAGGATGAAATCAGACTAATTTCACAGTTTCTGCTACTATAAGACTGCAGACGGAAGAGGTAATAACATATCCAAAATTTTCATTGCTGCACAAAGACAACCTATATTACTTTTTCACTCTGGCTACAAAATCCACTGGCCTATTGATTTCTTAAAATGGCTTCATGTGACGTTCCTGAGAATCTATGTCTGCCTGGTTTGGAGGTTTCATTTCCAGCCTCACTCTCCTTTGGTCATCACTTGCATTTTCCCCTGCAGATGTGGAGACCCAGGCACCCCGAACACTAAATCTTCCCACATATCAGGCCTTTTGAACAGGAACAGTAAACAGGGCAGATTGCTGGGGGAGGACAGAGACACAGCCAAATCAATAGAAACAGCATTTGCTTCCATTGTTTTTTTCTCCTCTCAGCAGAAACACTGTTCTCATAAAGAATCTGCTTGTTGCAATTAGACCAGGGCCTCTGATGGTGTCTGGGGAGGACAGGGTATTCGATTTAGAAAAAGGAGGTTGAGGAGAGAGCAGGAAGGAGATAATGGGCAGGGAAGTTAGCAAATGTAAAATTTTATGAATTTAATAAAAACATGTGCATTGCTGCAGATATGTAAGTAATGGAGCTCAATAGTGACCACCCAATTCAAAGTCAATTTCCTATTCAGTTTTCCCATAGACTTGTTGTGGACATTAGTTACCACAAAGCTCAATCAATCGAGCTTGGATGTTCAATTCCGTTTTCACACATTACTGTCATGTCTTTCTATAGAACTTAACATTACAATATTTACAACAAAAAAATTCTGTACCATTTATACACTTACAATGCCTTTAAAAATGTAAGGGAAATTATGCCTCAAATTGTTCGGAAAAGATCACATTTTGTCCCATTAATATGATAGAATTCTGTGATATTATGCAATTGTTCGTGTGTGACTGCCTGGTAGTTTACAACACTTGCTGGATTTTAATGTGAATGGCCTGACCTGACGTGGGGCTGAGTGGGATGGTTGATTATCAGCTGTGGAGCATGCAGACCACACTGCTCCCTCTCTCCTCTGTTCTCTGTCCTCCTCCTCTGTGTCGGTTATAATGTTGTTCCAGGCACTTCCAGCACGTCCACTGTCCCGCCCATCTAAAATGTGCAGAGGGGCTGGTCAGAGCACTCCTTCACCATATTACTGCTGAATCTGCACTGTAACACGCTCCATACAATTTCCTGCTTGTTTCTGCCACTTATTTACAATTCTGAACAAGTATCCTGTGCCAGTGCTCAGCCTGTCCTGTCTATCACTGCATCTCTGTGCCTTTATTAAAGGTAAAGATATTGTTTCATAACACATGTCTGTGCTTGGTTGCTGCATCTATCTCAGACTGATCTTATGGGATTGGGGCAATATATGAAAATGAGATAAGGGTGTGTTGACCACTAACTTTGTGCAGGATACAAAGCTCCTCTATCGGAGATCCCAAACACTGTTATGGCAGTAATAACAAAAGAAACGTTATGAAAAGATGAGGAGGATAACCTCTAAAGGAAAAACATAATTATAATCTATGTCATCTGAAAAGACTTTATAAGGAGCTTTTGGATGGCAGCCACTTCAGATGTTATGGCAATGTACAATCTACAAGTGACTCTATCATAGGCCTGTCACGATAACAAATTTTGAAGTACGATACATTGTTTATTTAAGAAAATATAGATGATAAACAATAATTCTAAAACTAATTTATGACACTGACACAACAACCCTAAAGTAGAATTATCAAAAAACTATTGCAAATGTACAATATGTCTAAAAAATAGCACAATGAAAATTTGTTCATAATTTAACCTCCTATAGCTCCAATCTAATCATGCAACAGAAAAATAAGAAAAAGACCTCCACTAGTAGGAAGGAAATGTACCCACAATAAATACTGAGACCCAAAAATGATTGTTCCATCTAAAATGTATTGAATGATAAGTCAATATAGTATTTATTGTGACAGGCCTACTCTATCATGCGATAATTAAGAAGAAAAGATATCCTGTCTTATAATTTCATTTATAAGTTTAGAAACAGCTGCTGCTCCATGTATACCTGCACATCACCCACCATCTTTCCCCAAAACATCCCCTCTTTTCTGTCCAAACTCTACATAATCCAGCAGCACACAAGACATTCTGCTGAACAAAGCGCTGTTGTGCAGTCATCTGTGTGAATATACAGCACACACTTATATAAGAGGGTTTAAATATGTACACACTAACAGACCGGTCCAATGCACTTGAAAATGTGGGTCAGAAACAACAACCATCTATGTCAAGGAGAAATTATATGTTGTCTACCGAAAAAACAACATCTGATGCATAACTTCTTGTAATCTTTTGTGTCAGAAACTTCAATGCATTATTTAAAAAACAATGTCCATAGCAAATTTATGAAACACATTATTTGTCTAAAAATTATTAAATGAAAACAGACTACACAGAGAAAAGGAGCAGGTGAAATGGTCCTTAAGGAGGGTGTGCCTGGGGAGCACAAGGAGAGTTTGGTTAATGGGGCATCAGACACATGACAGGGAACAAGGAAATGAAGCGAACATTCAATAAATTCCAGAACAGGAAAGAGCACTTGATGCGTTTCCTTTTCCTTCCCTGTCATGTTTAGCACTTGCTTTGTTTTATTGCTTATGACAGTTCATTTTCATTACAGGTATTGCAATGTTTTTAATAGTAAATCATCTACTGACAATCTTGAGTCTGGCATCAATTAATATACTATTTTTACTCACTGTTGACACTTAACTAGCCACCCTGGTGCTTCTGTCAAAATGTGTACAGGGAGTTGAGGGACACACACTCTCAGACGGTAACAAAGTCTATGTGAAGCTCCTGGCCTACTTCCTTGGGACTTGACCCAACTCTACTCCTGTTTGCAAAGTAAATGTAAATGAAAGTGGCACTTACTTGTGTTCAGTGGCTCTTCAGTGCCTCTTAATTCTGCGAAAGCACAGTTACGGTGATTAACGTAGCATTATTCAATTTATTATGCTATTGATGACATCCTTAAAAATATGAATCTTCTTAGCAACTCTTCAACAGCATTCAGTGTTTAATTGAGGAGACTATGGTGCCCCTCCATAGTCTAATTGTGCCCCCAATAGTCTAAATCAAACACTGAACAATAAATTGGTATTAGCATTAATGGTTAAAAGATATTAAGTGATGTATTTACTCCAAAACGTGTATTACTTTTCCCCCTTCCAAATAAGGATAGCCTGGACCTGTGGGAGAAACTGAGCATCATTATAGCACCGTAAGTGACTATCAGAGGTTTGTTACTGTCATTTATACTAACTCTAATGTAATACATATGCAAGCCATAATTTATTCAAATATTTGAGTGTTTCTTTTTCTGTTGACTGTGGTAATTTCAAGTGGCAGTGCTCTGGTATGAAACATACATGTGAACAATAGATGCTGCAGAAAGGCTGCAAACTCAGCACAATTTTACCACCAAGAATATCTATCATTACAACAGCCTGGGACAGTTTCTACAGCCACAGTGGGTAGACATAAATAACTGCATATAAAAGCAATACACTATAGTCACAGTGTATTGTTGAGTGTTCCTTCATCATTAGTTTACTCAGAGCTACTGTATGTTTTGATTGATTCATACATGTTTAAGTAATCTTCCATTATCCTGCTCAGAAACTTTCTGTTTTCAGCTACCACTGCCTACCCCTCTGTGATTGCTTGTGAGCCATATATGTACTTAAAAATGTCACAGCCATTTTCTAAAAACGATTGCTACAGTGAGCTAAATGTAAAATAGTGATTTGCATGCTAAACTGACTGCAAACACTATAGGAACCTAATCTTGAACGTAAATATATATATAATAGTCTTTTCTGTTATTTATCAATGATCAATTCTGCCACAATATAATCCAAAGAAATTTATTAAAACATTATTCAGCAAAAACTATGACCATCTTTATTTAACTTGTATAAATATAATGTTACAGTATTTTATCTGTATAACCCATCCAAAAGCAGGAATCATCACGAGCAATGGGTGATAACAACAGCCCACAGACTACCCTTCAGAACATGTGTTTATACATTTCCATGATTTTTCTCTAATACTGTTATTTTATATTTGTGCACCTCATTTCCAAAAGGGATGTAGTGCAATAAAGCTATTAATCATAGCATATCCATTCAGGCACTAAATAGTGTAGAGGGGAATATTTTGATGTTGTATTGCCCCCTAGTGTTAGATATGATGTGGTGTCAAAGAACAATCAAAAACACTTGGCACCTAGGGAACAACCATAATTCTACTGCAATGACATATCAATCCATATCCCAGAATGTATTAAGCACAGTGTTTTGCGTCCACACCTGTTTAAACACACCTTAGTGCGTCCCTGGGTGAATGAGTGTAGTGCAGCTTTAAGATGCCTAGAGAATCTGTTCTGTGCTTGAGGCAGAAATGTCAAGTAGTCGCCAAGCAGCATATGGGTTTAACTCCTCCTGGTCACGACACAAGGCCCAAACGTACATCATGCGGAGCACTTTGTCCTTAAAGAAAACAAGGACAAAAACAAAGTAGTTTTATAAGTAATGAGCTGGTAATGAAATATTGTTTTAATGTCATGTATAACATACAGGGTCCCCCTCTACTACATCTCCTTTAGTGTTTCGAATCACCATCACTAACTGAGCCTGGAAGGTGATGATCAACACTGGGCCCTGGTCCATCATCTTCCCCATGGCCAACTAGAAAATAAAAAACTTTACATTAAGTGAACTCATTCGTGTATGAATAAAAAAAAGTCAGACCTTGGTGACCTTTTCAATTTCAAGATATTACTGAAAGCGCAATGAAGTATTTATTTCACCAGCATACACTTACATCAACATTGTCTATGTCCAGGATCTTGGAGTGGAACTGAAGTCCCATAGCTTTGGCCTGTTGGATTGGGTGGGCTAGCTGACTGTAAGTCTAAAATCCCAACAAACAGGAAAATAATTTATATTTCAATATAATTTCAATAAAGACTGAATACAAAAAAATAATAAGACATACTGCTTCATAACACCAATCCTTTAAAATCTCCAATTCCCCTCTGATCATAGCCTGGATAAGGATAAAAATATATATTATTTTTGTATAATTAAAAAGCAATGCACAGTGTTTATGTTACAATTGAGTGCCTCACCTCAAGTATATTGGGAATAATGTCACGTTCACATTGTTTGAGAAATGTATCTTTATCAAAGTTTGGGTCCACCTTCAAAATCTCTGTCAACACCTCTGACATTTCGGTCTTGGAGAACAAACCACCTAATAAATGGAGAAAGGGTCAATGCACAGCAGGGAGGGTATTCAGTCAGATTACGAGGCATCTCACCAATGAGATCAGTCATTTTATCAGTAACTGCACGCGAGGCCCTGATTAAAGCATTGTCACTCTCATCATATTTCATTTTCATCTCAAAGAATCCTGTAACAGAAACAAATTATTATTATTATATATACTAGTATGTTTATAGAATATTTTCAAAGAGAATGAATACATTTAGAAGCAAATAGCTTGTTGCTTTAGATTTTAGTACATACAAAAGATCACACAGAAAGAAAAGTTTGTAAGTAATCACTTTTGTGCTAACTTTACAAGGGTCAAATAAGCAAATATTAGTCAAAACATCAGCAATCACAATAATATTGATCTGAAAATGCAAAGAAAGCAGTTCTCACGATTGAATACAGCATTGTTGTCTTTAAAGTCCTTCCACTGCTGGTACCATTTTGAGTCCTTGTGGAGCACAACGCCCATAGCCTCCCTGTCAAAATGACAAAACACATTGAAATTGTTACATGTAAGGGAAAAGTCTACAAAACATTAATTGCTTTAAGTACTGAGGCTTCACCAGGGAACCATAAAAGCACTCACGTACTCATTGGCTTCGAAGAC